GCCCTTTTGATTTTCCTTTTGATTTCCAGCTCCTTGCACATGTCATTGTAATATTTTACTTTGTCATCCACACTGCTTTTGAAATCTACTGTTCAGCTCTTTAGTATCTTGAATTCTTCCTTGTGCTTTGGCGTCTCTGAGCTCCAGTGCAATATTCAGAGTTTCTTCTGACATCTATTTTGGTCTTTTCTTCCTCCTCTGTCTTTGAGAGAGCATAGAAAAGAAAATAAGAAAACAAATACCAATTGCAATAGCTAACCACAAGATGAAATACTAAGGAACAAATCTAATTAGACATAAAAAAGACCTTTACAAAGAAAATTAGAAAACATTACTACAAGAAATAAAAAAAAAAAGATCTAAAGAAGTGGAAGAAATGTCATTTTCATGGCTGTTGTTTGTTGTTGTTACGTACCGTAGAGTCAGAACCAATCCATTGCTGACTTTTCATCAGGTTTTCAGAGGTAGTAAATCACACTGCAGGAGATTGGTCATCTTTCTCCCACTGAGCCACGGAGTCCACCAAACCTGGGCTCCAACCATATGTCTTCAGGTTAACAGTGCCTCTGCTGATCACTAGGCCACCAGGGCTAGGAAGACTCAATATCATGAAAAGAAAAATTCTTCTGAAAGTAACCTACAAGTTCAATGCAATTCCAATATAGATACCAACCTCACTCGTCAACAAGATGGAAAGTCAATTTCCAGTTTTGTCTGGAGTGGAAACAGGTCTCAAATAAGCAAAGCACTACTGAAAAAGAAAAATGAGGTAGTACTCCTGAATCTCAAATCCTAGTACACAGCCATGGTAATTAAGACAGCATGGTACAGTGACAGAAACATACATCAATGAAATAGAATCAAGAACTCAGAAATCAACTAATCTACTTACGGTCAACTGATTTTCACAAGGAAGCAAAATCAGTTAAGTAGGGAAACAATAGCCTCTTTAACAAATGGTGATGGCAAAATTGTAAAACTATCTGATGAAAACTGAAATAAGACTCATGTCTTATACCACACACAAAAACCAACTAAAGATAAATCAGGGACCTGGAAGTACAACCCAAGATCATTAAGGTTCATCAGAGAGAAAGTAGGAACTCTATAAATCCTAATCTAGAGCATGAATAGACTTCCAAGAATAACAAGAGAACCCCACAACCAGGAAAAGACAAAATAGATAAAGGAAACCTCCTAAAAGTCAAAACCCTATGCATATAAAAAGAACTGCTGAGACAGCTTTCGGAGAGTCGCTACGGTCTCCTACTTCAACAGTGCTTGAACGGAACCCGGAGCTCGCCAGCATCTCCCCTTGTCAGTCATTTCCAGCCAGTCCTAGGCCACCTCCTCACATCAGCACCCGCCGGATGCCCCAAGGTCCTCGCTTCCACTCCAGCGCCGGCATGACCGCGTCCCCTCCGGAGGTGCGCCAGAACTACAACCAGGACTCTGGAGGCTGCCATCAGCCCTCAGATCAACCCTAAGTCCATGACTTACTACTTCAACCGTGATGATGTGGCTTTGAAGAATTTTGCCAAATATTTTCTTCACCAATCCCACGAGGAGAGTGAAGGAACATGCCGAGAAACTGATGAAACTGCAGAACCAGCGAGGCCGCCCCATCTTCCTTCAGGACATCAAGAAACCAGACCGGGATGACTGGGAGAGCAAGCTGAACGCAATGGACTGTGCGCTACGCTTGGAGAAAAGTGTGAATCAGTCCCTACTGGAAGTGCAGAAACTGGCCACTGACAAGAACGACCCTCATTTGTGTGACTTCATTGAGACACATTACCTAGATGAGCAGGTGAAATTCATCAAACAACTGGGTGACTACATAACCAACTAGTGCAAGATGGGTGCCCTGGACTCAGGCATGGCAGAGTACCTCTTTGACAAGCACACCCTGGGAAACAGTGATGGCAGAGCTGAGCGAAGCTTTAGCCCAGCTTCCCCATAGCCACAGAGGTGACTTCGTGGTCACTACCAGGCCACCTGCAAATCTTGTTTATTTTACCTTTTCTATAAATTGTACCAAAAGACCCACTTAAGTTCTTTCATTTGTACCATTCCTTCAGATAGTCATTTGGTACCCAGCTGTTGTGTTAGAGGTCTTGGTGGGCCAGAAGTCTGTCTAAGCCATCTTGGCTAAATTCTTTAATCACCATAGTGTCTACTTCAGTCACATTTAATAAAATGAAACTAACAAAAAACAAACAAACAAAAAAAACCAAGCAAACCCTCTCCAACATGGTAAAAAGTAGAAGCCTTTTGACTGGGAAAAAATATTTGGCTATGACATATCTGATAAGGGAGTCATATCTTCAATGTCTAGACTATTCTAGTACTTCAGCAAGAAAAAGACAAACCACCCAGTCACAAAATGGTCATAAGCTATGAATTTCTTCATCAGAGAAAAAAAAATCAGATGGCAAACAAACACATGAAAAAAATGTTCAAAATCCCTAGCTATCAGAGAGAGAGACAAATCAAAACAACAATGAAATATCAACTCACCCAAACAACAATAGAGAAGTTCAACAAGGCAGCAAGCAACAACACATATTGGAGGGGATGTGGAGAGATTAGAACTCTCGTTCATTGCTGAGAATGTAAAATGACAAAACCATTATGAAAGGCCAGACAGCATTTTCTCAAAAAGTTGGAAATAGTAATACCATTTGCCCCAGTTATCACAACTACTGAGAATATACCCTGAAGAAACCGGAGCTGTGACAGAGACAGATGCATGCACACTCGTGTTTATTGCAGTATTAGTCACAATAGTGAAGAGATGGAAACAGCCCAAGTGTCCATCAGAAAATGAATGAAAACTGTGGTACATATATATGATGGTATATTATACAGCACTGAAAAACAATAAATTTGTAAAACACTACACATGGATAAGTCTGGAAGACATTATATATGCTGTCAAATATCCAGTCACAAGAAGGCAAATACTACCTGTTGTTGTTGTTGTT